CCATCGATTTAAAGTAGCAGACGAACAGGTGTCTGGCAAAAGCGGGAGGTGGCGTCAGGCATTGGGGTTAAAGGGGGGGTCCGGGGGTGGGGGGGGGGTTAGTTTAATGATATTGCTAATAATATTGATGCCCTCCCAGTCTTATTGTGCTGTACTATTATACTATTAGCTTTATGTGGAAAATGCAGCTAAATGTCAAGTATTACACATGACATGATGTAGTGGGTTAGGTGCCTGTGTCTGTGATCAGAAGCTTGCCATTTCCATTTGGCCCTTACCCCCCCCCCCCCCCGCCAAAATACTCCAGGGGTGCCGGATACCTGACCCTGTGACTGCAAGACCCTAAACTTCACTCTCAGTTCCTTTATATATAGACACAACAACACACCATATGGACAAAAGCATCGGGACGCCTGGCCATCACACCTACAGGGATTTTTATGGCATCCCTTCTAAATCCATAGGCATCAATATGGAGCTGGTCCCCCCTTTGCAGCTATAACAGCTTCCAGTCTTCTGGGAAGGATTTCCACAAGATTTTGGAGTGTCTGTGAGAGTTTTTGCCCATTTATCCAGAAGAGCATTTGTGAGATCAGGTACTGATTTTGCATGTGACGGCCTGGCTCACAATCTCCATTCTGGTTCACCCCAAAGGTGTTCATTGTGGCTGAGATCAGGGCTCTGTGTGGGCCAGTCAAGTTCTTCCACACCAAACTCACTCAACCATGTCTTTATGGACCATTATCCCTCCTTCACCAACCTGGTAATGTTCTTCTGGCATCTGCCAAACCCAGACTCATCCATCAGACTGCCAGACAGAGAAGCGTGATTCGTCACCTCACAGGACACATTTCCAGTGCTCCAGAGTCCAGTGGCGGCGTGCTTTACACCCCTGCATCTGACTCTTCGCATCGTGAGGCTTGCATGCAGCTGCTCGGCCATGGAAGCCCACAAATGTTTGTAAACCTGACTGCATGGCTTGGTGCTTGATTTTATACACCTGTGGCAATGGGCCTGAATTCAATTATTACAAGGTGTGTTGCAGAACTTCTGTACATATAATGTGTCTGAATTTATAGTATCTCTGTCTTTAAATGGACAGTAAGATGCAAAAACAAGCCTTCCAACTTACCTGCACTCACAAATGACAAGGAGCATTTAATCTCATTAGCATTTAGCCCCAAGAGTGTGGCTGAGATCCACAAACCAGTAAGCACTTCAGAAACATGCAAGCGGACAGTTCACTCCTGCTTGGAAAAGAATCCGGCACCGCAGGCAAAGAGGGCCCCTGGTACGGCGACAACTCCCAACATACTCCCAACATACTCCCAACATACTCCCAACATACTCACCGTAAGAGCAGCTCCTTGGGCAGCTTCCTGTTAATGGCCGCCTCGTCGATGTTCGAGAACATCTAGGATGTGGGGATGAAGTGGCTGTGAGTTCACCCTGGCATTCTAAACCAGACGCTTTCCGTTCTGGGCAACTGGTGTGACTCATAATACCGGTCATCCGCCCTTCAGTTAACTGCTCAGGTTTAACACGAAGTTGTTTAAAAACCTGTCAAAGAGCCACAAAGCATATAACTAATAAACGCTAATGAATACTTCATTTTTCTTCTTAATACATTATGACCTGACTAGCAATATTTTTAATTTAACACATGTATACCAAAACCAACTAATCAAACATAATCCAACCTTTAAGCAATTTTCCAGTAAATTAACTTCTATACATTTGGAAGCACCAGACTGCAGCATAGTAGTAACCATGTAGGAATTATTTGCATAAGCCTTAGTTAGCAGTTCCCTCCAGTGACCGGTGTGTTCTGGCATCCCTGCTGGCTTATACCACACAAAGCCACACTGCTAGGTCCCCCTCGCTTCAATGGTGGCGTTTATGCAAAGACGAAATGAGGCGAGCAAAGCGACAGATGGGAGACTCGTGTCCGTAACAACTCCTAAGACTACAGCCTGCTCTTAGGTCCACATAAATGTATACATCGCCATTTAGAATACATGTAGCCTAACTTACACGTACCCTAGTTTAAACACGGTTAACCGCTTTCTGTTTTCAGATATATTGGAGAATCTGGTGATCAAACCTGAAGATATCTTTTTTACTGTCAATAAAAAACTTATCTGCAAAACCTATGCTATTGAATTATTGGGTAAAAAGCTACTGAGCACATTCATGCCGTAAGTTGTCAGAGCATAAGGTTCGGTGCAACTCTCATTGCCAGTCATCTGTTGCACTATTAAAATAAACAATCACATAATTTCCATTGTGCTTAGGGGAAAAAAGAAAACCTGTTAACAATCGCACTTTGAGTAACGACAAAAACAGTTTATTACACAATGTATACAAGGAATACAAATCAATTGCTATTGTAATGCAGAGTAACGGTTGGGATTAAATAAATCGTACAGTTACATTGGACATTAACAGGTGACGTTATAAGGAAAAGCAATGTCACCGTTATTTATGGTGACCTGCTTAATCTGTCATCACTAACACGGAAAAACAACTTTTACTATTCAGAGTTGGGCGTCTCTGGTCATCAGGATACTACTATAGTCAGTTTGTATCAGTAAGTGTCCGTAATCGGCACTTCCAACACAGAGCACCATCGAAATACTCCACTTAATAAAAACACATCGGACAGGGGGGGAGAACAGTTAAGGTCAGTGTTTGTGTAAAAAGCGACCAGCAGTAATACAACCCAGACGCCGACATTTCGCAGACAACGTGAAAAAGCTGCGGCTATTTTTAAAAGCGCGATTAACGCGCATGTTTGTGCTAAACCAGTCAGGCGAGAATGTTCTGGTATTAACGCAAGTAGCGCTTATTATTCCCAACGTGATCGGACCCAAACCGAAATCGACCGAAATAACCTAATAATCAAAAACACCTATCGCAGTCTATTTAATGTAATCGTTTTAATGAAATGCCAATAACTCTCCTAGCTGTGCCCAAGTGAGTAATTATTTCCGCTTTGTTAGTCTAACGCCAATTAACACGCCTTTTAATCCGGCGACCGTGCTCACCTCGAATCGGCTGCGCGAGCCCCCGCTCGCCTCCTTCCCCATCTCGGACAGCGAATTATCCGGTCCAATTCAGAACAGAAAAGCCAGTGTCACCACAGCGGTACCGCGCAAGAAGCGATTCGCGGACCCGCTTCGGGTTCACCATGCTGCCGATGTCTCTGAAGCTGCTGTTACAGTGGCTTTCCTTCAGACGCCAAAACAAACCCCTCTTATCTCATTTGCTCAGAATCGCTCTGTCCCTTCCCTCCTCCACCCTTCTTGTAAGTACATTATAGAGTTTTTTTGACCATCTTGGTTATGTACCCTAATACATAAGGGCATAAACATCGTACGTGACACCATGTCTGCCTGGCGTGGATTTGTTTTGATATGGCAGAAGTGCTCAATTGATTAGTTGAGGTCATTCCTATTTTTTTCTCGTCTCTACATCACTTCACGTGATGTGACCCGCACCCAAATGCTGTTTACATACCACAGCAAATGCTCTGCACTTGCAACTCGTTTTGCCAGGTTTAATTCAAGTGCACAGTTCTCTGATCCTTTTATTGACGCATATTAATTAATTATGTCGTATTTCTAAGAAATTTACATTGATAACTATGACTGTGCTTAGAGATATTTAAAAAGGAGACCTAGTTTTGCTGTTATCATCAAATATACATTTATTGAGAAGTAAGGATTTGGTAAGAGAACTCGGGCGGATTTAACTATCCAGACTGCACTGGCAAGTAAAAAGGAAAACTAAGGTTGAGCAGCTTCTATTAGGATTGCCTTCTGCTGTGAAATATACGCCCACTATAGATGAAGAACACAACAACCTAAACAATACGGGGGGGTGTCTAACATCCATAACGACAGACAACAGTGTCTGACTTGGTGACAGCTGACCAACTGGAAACGGCACCTGTGTGGCTTGTCAACATTCCTCTGAGTAACATTATATCTACAACTGAATTTACACCAAAGTTGTTTAACATCGATGCAGGTTTTTGGTTCACCTGTGGTCTTGGTTTATAGGCATGATTGCTCATCCTTTTCACAGTCTTCCACTTACAGATATAGCACTTTAATATTAAAATAAAAAGCCATAAGGATCTGACGTGTAACTTTTAACACTAATAAGATCTCATGTTTAAAAGATTTCCCATAAACATTATGTACATACTATTACAACAAAGTACAAAGAGCAACAGACACACAGCTGTATTGTGTTAAAAGCATTTATTTACATGTGCCTTAGTCTGGTAGACACAAGCTATGGAGAGCCTTGCTGACTTTTCTTGTGGCATCAGAGTAGGCCATAGGTCACTCCACCTGACACATGACTAAGGAAAAGACGGCATCCAACAGGTCATCCAAAAGCACAAAACAATAAGCAGGGGCCCCTTTTGGGAACAACATTCCTGGCAGCTGCTGTAGCCTCACACTCCTGCAGCTCTGGGAAATTGCTCTCTCGTAAGAACATGAATGTCAAAAACACATTTTGTGTTAAAAATGTTTGATAATGGAATGGCTGCTAAGTTCCAAATTATTTCCCAGTGTTGACTGTTGATATGCCGAAATACTGCCAAGGTTTGAGTATGATCACGGATGTTTTAAATGATAGAGATTCTGATACATTTTTCATATTTACCTCCAGCGCTGAATGCAATGAGGAGAAGCTTTTGCTTTCTGTGGTGGGCTATTGACGACTCGCTATACCTCTTATCACTGACATACTGTTCAACCCAGAATGAAATCATAATCAGAGTTGGGTAATTCAGGTCCAGAGAGACCAGACTGGGATTTTGTTTCAACCAACCAGTTGAGTTCTCTGTGACTGTGACTCTTTATGCTTAACTGGTTGGTTGAAACAAAATCCCGGTCTGGACTTTTATTCTCTGGACCTGAATTACCCAACTGTATATAATAATATTTCACATTAAAGTGTAATAGATCCATTGAAATATCAATATGCAACAAATTGCAATAAAAATTACCTCTGAAGCTCAACTCACCTTTGAATCCCATATCAAGCATCTCTGAAAGATTTCATTCCACCACCTTAGAAATACTGCAAAGCTCCATCCAACTCTTGCCTTACCAGATGCTTTAAACTGGTTCACACTTTTATCTCTTCCATACTGCAATGCACTACTCATTCGAATCCCTAGGAAGAATCTTTAAAGACTCCAATACATTCAGAACAGAGCAGCAAGGACCCTGATGAGAGTGCGAAAATATGAACACATTCACCCATTCTTCATTCACTTCACTGGCTTCCCGTCTCTGCCAGGATTGAAGACAAGGTTTCCCTTCTTACTCACCAGTGTATCTATGGCGATGCCCCCCTGTACCTGAAAGAACGTCTTACCCCACTAACCTCAACACAGACTCAAATCGCTGCCTCCTCCCCAAGACTAAGCTCAGCACCATGGGTGTTCGAGCCTTCTGTTCTGCCCCCCCTCGACTATGGAACGTCCTCCTGGACCATTTGAGGGCACCACAGACTATTGTGTTTTAAAAAGGGACTTAAAACAATTATTTTTAGCAGAAGTTATGGCTTTTAAGTAATTTTTTAAAACGGTGTTTTATGTTGTTTGTATTATGACGTTATTTTGTAGCACTTGCTTCAGATGTAAAGTGTGTTACAAATGAAATGTATTGCTATTATTATATTATTATTAAAAATGTAAACTTTATTTTCATGGCATGTAAGTGTTTAGTTGGCATTGTGGTATGCATACCACAGCAGACATCTGATTAATGTGGGTTTATTATCAGCAATTACAGCTTTCACACCATCCAATTTCAGAGAAACTGAATGATTCCTAAAACTGTATAATTAAGTGCTAAGGATACCATAATTTACAAGATGCGAGGATCAATTTATGAATGCCATTTCTCATGTTCACCTAACTCGTTTCGTTATGTTGGTCATATGTTAGAAATTATATTTGTGGACAGATTTACCTTTTATGGTACGTAGTTTAACATAATTATGAAAAGAGGAAATTAAAGTCAAGACTGTGATCATAGTCTAGACAGCAATATTTAGCCACATTGTTCTAACAATAAAATGTCCCTTTTTAAAACTTAATTGATGGTTTTCTTTGGAGTTGATGGCGACTTAGTAAACGCAAAAGCGTACATCGCCACCTATTGTGCTGGAGTTACAGCAAAAGGGAGCTCCCTCTGCAAAACGCAACTCAGACCTTCGTCAAACCGTAACCTCACGTGGCAATTCTGTACGCCTCCAAGTGACCCGTTAACGAAATTCCATATTCTTTAAAATCCAGTGGCTACGAGCGTGACAATTCTCCTATTCCCGAATGGAAAAATCGTAGTTATACGGAAAATACACGACATGCTTCTGAAGCCCATAATCACTTACGCAATAACAAAAATACAAACTGCACATTAATAAACAGGAAACCCTTTCTCTTCCGTCGCCAATATAAGTACTTCCCGTACGTCATCAACATGCGACAAAAGAACAAGCTTGCCTGCAGGGAATGCTTTTAGTTAGCTAGCAAGCTTTCTTGCTCATCATGTGATTTTTCTAAAAAGCTAGATATAGCTAATTTCGGAAGATCTCGGCGACACAACTCATCACTGATGAAGATAGAAGGTGAAACGTGCGATTGTAATGATATTAACCTACGTTTACTTTTTTTTTTAGATTGTTATATTTCGTGGGAGAGGAACGAACGCCGTCGTTACAGCAAGCTACAGTAGAGAGGTAGCCAGCGAGTAAAGATCGTTACTGGCAAGCTTTTCGCACCTGGTTTGTATTTGCGGATTTTTGCGCTAATTAGCTAGGAAGGGCTCCGCTTCATACATTGGTTTCGGTTACCGTGTAAGAAGGACACTTGATTCGATCATTTTAGTCTGCTTCTGTGGTAGGGCTTAGATAGACTGAGGCCTCTGCAATTTCAGCGCTAGATTAATATTCTTTAGTCTCTGGCTCAACGTTGCTGTGTCATATATAGGTAGATATTAGAGATTTTTTTGGTAATGGTGTACTTATACGTAACACTTAAACGTGGTAATGACGTTAAAATACTGATTTGGAAACTTGCGCGGTAGCTAATTTGATTTTGTTTGGAACTCTTCGATGACTTATGGACTTTTCTATAATAAAATCACAAACATTTCCCTATCAGCAGCCTTTTCTTTTTTATTACAAATGCTGGACTGATGCTTGGTTAATATGAATGGGGTCTTACATAGAAGATTGCGGTTGTCGTGAGACAGCCGGGGTTTTTTTTTGTGTGTGCAACTTTCACAACTACAGTAGTTTATGTCGAAGCCCCCTGCAGGTTGAGGGTTGTCACAGCAGCGCGCCAAGAACAGAGGGCGGGCGTCGCATTGGGGGAAAAAAAGGTTGTTGCCGAGTTACCGTCAAGACTGACAGCGACCGAGACTTCCGGCTTCCGAGCAAGAGGAGTACAGAAGCTGAAGCTCGTAGGAGGAGCCACAATGGCGACTGTCCTCTCCTCATAACAGCAGGGGCAGTGGGTGTTCTTATATCCGCAAACATCGCCCTAAATGCAGGCCTGGTCGATTCCCAGGGCCACTATAAATAAACTGGGACATCTTCTGCACATGAATATACTATAATTTCTTACCAAACATCAAATATAATGAGATAAAATTGAAAATTAAAGCGAACATGTAAACAGTACCAACCGGGTCAAGTTTTCATTTTCAGTTCTGTGAAACAATATTGCCCATTCATCATGGACTACTACTTGTTTCCGAACTCAACGTAAACTGAAGGAGCCGCCACCTTTGCTAAAGCCTTACAGAAGGCTAAAGGTGGCTGTTTGAAAAGGGGGTTTGCTTTTTTCCCCCCTTTTCGTTTTTTACGAAAAGCTAGCGACCTAGCTAGCTACAGCAGCGCTGGCTAACCAAAGCGAAACGGGGGAGACCGGGCTCCATTCTCCGACTTGTCTCTTTGTAACCGGCTATTAAAACTTGCAACACGCTGAGCCGATCATATTAAGTAGCGTATTTTTTGGTTCCTAGCTGATTTTTTTTCTGTACAAAACGCCAGAAACATGCTACTGACCTGACTGGGATTAACTCGGATAAAGCATAAGGACGGAACGTGGGCATACTTTTTTTTGTTGTTTGCTTTGTAAACGTTTTTTTTTGTTTAATGATCTTTTTAACCGGATTTTTGGAGTGCAGTTCTGCCGTTAATGTATTGTCTCGGCTGCGTAGGCCCGCGATTGGGAGACGGATCGCCGCTGACGTGAGGAATGCCCGGGTCAGACCGACACCATGGAAGCAAGAGGAAGCCGGACCCCAGCGCCTCACTGCAGCCTCCGCCAGCTAGCGGCACCGGCGGGGCTTATCAGCCGCTGCTGTCGCCGCACTCCTCGGCCGCCAACATGACGAGCAGAGACGGCAAACTCCACTCGAAGTCGTCCGCCTCCTCCTCGTCGTCCTCCTCCTCTTCCAAGCGGAAGCGGCACAAGTCGTCTAAGCACGGCCGGGAGTCGTCGGCGCTGAGCCCAGCGGCCGCCTTTGCGGCGCAGGGCTCCGCACCGCCTCCTGCCGTCAGCGCCATCAAGCCACTTGTTGAGTATGACGACATCAGCTCGGACTCGGACACCTTCTCGGACCCCCCCGCATCCCGCCCCTCTGCAGACCGTAGAGGGGGGGAGAGGCTGGAGGCGGACTTGGATTACGGTAAGGACGAGGAGGGCGGGGCCGGCGGGAGTAGGGACGGCCGGGGACACAAGCACAGGCACCCCCGTAAGAAGTCCAAAGACTCGCACAGAGCTAAAGACTCGGCTGAGTCCGGCGGCAGCTCCAAGAAAAAGAGCAGCAAGGACCGGGAAAAAGGAAGTTCAGGGAAAAGTAAGGAGAAAGTGGCCTCCGTGGCCACCTTGTCATCTGGGGCCCGGCAGCCGGGCCAGATAGAGGGGGACCTGGTATTGAAGCGGGCCAAGCTGCCCCAGAGTGTGCTGGCCCAGCCTGGGGCTAGCGTGAGCAGCACGGCATCCTCGTCCTCGTCGTCGCGCAGCAAGGATGACGGCGGCCCCTCCGCCAAGCCGCGCAAGGACAAGCAGCAGCGGCGCGAGGGCCGCGGGGACCACGGCTCCTCGCAGAAGGAGCGCGCCGACAAGAGCCACCGCAAGTCGTCTAAGAGCTACAAGGCCAGTCCCAAGGGCCGGCCGTCCTCCAGGGGGAGCCCTCGCAGAAAGGCCCTCGCCTCCATCCAGTCCCCCAGCCCCAAGGGGGGAGGTGCTGACAGCCCCTTGGGTGGGAGCTATAGCCTCGACGTGGAGGAGAGCTACCACCACCGACGGCGACAGGCCCAGCAGAGCCCCAGCCCGTACCGGGAGGTGTCAAGGCGCAGCCGGCAGCGCTCAGACAGCCCCTACGGCGGCCGGCAGCGCTCCTCCAGCTACGAGCGCGACAGCAGCCCCTACTCCTCCAGGAAACGCTCCTCGCTCAGTCCCTATGGCAACCGGAGGTCCTCCAGCATCAGCCCCATGTCCCGGTGAGTACGGCACAGCCGCATCCCGCTCCGTCGTTACTCGCGCCCGTCAAGGCATGTGGTCTTTCAGGAAGTTGCGTCCGCCGTAGGGTGACCACCCAAGGTAGTTGGCTTTGACTCGACGCTTGACACTTTTCACAAAGATGCCATGGCTTCAATGCCGCCCGACATGTCTTCGCGTCAAGGTCCAGGTTGTGGTTCTTGATAGTCTGAGGTAGTTGGGGAGATCCGTGGGCCATTGCTGTAGGCCGCCGCATGGTGCCACAGGGCAGTGGGATCGTGCTTTGTGGCACGTAGCAGCCCAGGACCGTGGGAAAGGTGTGACATTACCTTTGTCATGATATTTCCAGAACTGAACATGGGCCCTCAATGTTTCGGGTGTGATTTAGATTCTTGTGATAGGTGTGTGTTTGCAGGGCAGGCCGGACGTGGGGGGTTGGGACGGGTGACATTTGTTGTCAGCTGTGGCCTCTTGGGGAAAACTGAGGTCACTGACTGTCAGCAGCACATGGCTGCCTCTCCCAGCATGCATTGCTTTGGAGTGGTTGGTTCTCCCAGCATGCATTGCTTCGCAGTGGTTGGCTCTCCCATAAGCCATAAAGGACATACAATGTGTTCAGATGGTTCTAGGTCTTTATTCAAGTATTAGGGAAACCAGTCTGGAAAATCACATTTAGATGTGTAAGTTGAATAGCAGCTGTTTAGCACATGGTTTGTTGAGGCTTAGTGTTTAATTTCAGTATCACTTATTCCTGCTGTTGACAGTCGTGACACACAGAAGTCTTTTCATTTCTAAAGTTTTAGATCACACTATTTGCTGCATCATTTCCATGTAATCCTACAAGGGCTGCAAATACTTCTATTTAGTGCCCCATAATAGGAAGGAAGATCAATAACCACCTCGTCGGCCATTTTGATTGTGCTCGGCGGTCTGCTGGACCTTGACCAGAGGCTGTAGGAAGGGGAGTGTGTTCTTGTCCTGTCGCGAATCGGTGTTCCATCAGCACTGGATGGCGGTATGAGACCACGGGGTGACCAGCGGTGGCGGGGGTTAATCATTACTAACACCAACCCTCCACGGCAGTGACTGTGACTGGGTTAGTGGGACTGGCAGCTTAGTAACACGACACTCCGTGGGTTAGGAGTTAGACTGTCAGACTGTTAAAACGTCCGGGTCCAAAACTGTAACGCTAATGGTGCGGTAGTACGTGTCCACAGCTTGAGACGAGTCGCTGTAATCAGTGCTGTTCGCTTACTTCCAGTCTCTCTCAGCAGGTTGTTGATGACCACAGAATGTGTCTAACTCTAGAGTTTTATATCTAAAAAAAAGAAAAAATGTCCTAACAAGCAGGTGAAATTTAATTACTCATTTGTTTGGTTTGGGAGATTTTAATTAGCGTTGATTTTTCTTTTTCGTTTTCTTTTTAACCATAGGGACATGTTGAGCTAGCCAAATTTCCATAATTACACCTTCATAGTCTCAAAAGGTGAGAGTGTGTTGCCCCCCTGAAAATATCAAATTACTCCTTGGGGGCTAATTGTCCCCAGCCAAAATTTTTTCCAACTCTCAAGGTCCATGAAGGGGAAGCTAAATTATTAGTGTAATTAACATCTTGCACCGATTTCCATTAGTTTTATTATTGCCGTTACCTTCTCACGATGGTGCCTCTTATGATGCTGGTGGACATTCAGCTCTGTGCTCAACCCCCCGTGGGCTAAAATGGTTCCTTTGAGCAGACTGAAGCGGGGAGTGATTTTAGTGTCGCACACGATCCCCTGTCATTTCCGAGTTCCAGCTAAGCTCTTTGCCGTAATGTAGATCTAAGGCCGGCCCATGTCAGACGGAGTGGGCTGAGGGGGAGGGGGGAGTGGAGAAATGGGGTTTCGTGCCAGCCTGCCTGTTCAAGGAGCTTCGTGCATGTGACCAGTCGTCTGGGGGCTGAGTGTTGCAGCCCCACCCACCAGAGTTCGACCTGCATGAGCCCAGCATGTGACTCACTGGGGTCACTCTCACAGCCCAACCCTCCGCCGTCACCTCGTCTTGGCGGCCCTATTCTAAACCCAGGTCTGGATGTCATCCACGGTACTGACAGGAAGTTGTGTTCAGGGCAGCTTGTAATTTTTGGACTCTCTTGAAGTGAGTCACACTCTCATTTTGGGCTAGTGGTATGTCGATAGAAGGGTTAGGGTCATTCTCCATCTGGGCTGCCGCAGAGTCATGGATGCCCTGGCAGATTCAGGGGGCACGACACTGTGTGGGGTCTGTCTACTCTTCCTTCTTCAGACTGAAATTGCCAACCGAAACGGGGGGCCCCAGAATTTCTAGCTACACCCCGGTTCATAAATTATTTAAGCACTAAAATTATGCGTCGGACTTAACCAACAGGTGAAAGGCTGTACAGGATGCGGTGGGTCGTGACCTGTGTCTGACCCATAAAACTGCTCCTTTCACATGCAGTTTTGCAGATAGCTTTGCTCTTGCAAAAACCATATTTAAGGTGCAGTGCTTTGTATGTTTTCCCACTTTGTTGGTACTTTTTAAAAGATCAGCCTTTGAAATGTAACTGATGGGGCTGAACGATTGTTTTCCTGCGGCTGCGATTTTGCCGAAATGGTAAACACTGCTCTGGAAGTTATTCCTGTAAAGTCCGGCCTTTATGGGGCAAGTCTAGGCTTTCAGCCCTAACAGTTGTACCAGCTTTCTGCCTGTTAGAGGGATACAGGGCATGTCACCTGTGCGGCCTGCAGTGTCCGCAGCCGTCCAGAGCAGTACGAGTCACCCGTGCGTCTGCTCTGTCATCCCCAGCGAGCCGGGCGTGCGGTCTCTGCTTTGCAGACTCACAAGAAGCAAATCCCCCATCCATTTTCCAGTCCGACCAAGGCTGCTTGTTGCATTAGCGCGTTAACTACAGTGAATCACAGCCTGCCCATTTCCTTCCCCCTGCCTTGCGTCGGCCCGCGGAGGTATGCTGCTTTCAACATGTCACTGTCACCGTGAGTATTCTCACACACAAAGAAATGCTCTGAGGCTGGAAGCTGCAGTAACATCAGTTTATTCCAGACATGCAGAAACACACCCCGGTGTGATTTAAATTAGATGCTTAAATCTGCATCAGCACTATCAGGTAATACAAAGTTTGTTTACTAGTAGAGGAGCACGATGCAGTCGCTGATAAACAGGAGTGTGGGACACGTGTGATCACCATGAACCGTTAATCTGTGGATTTTTTTTTTTATATATATGAGCAACATGAAATGCTGTAAGATGAATTAACCCAAGCAGCCTTTTTAATATACTGGAATATTCACTAGTGTTAGGAGGTACGGGCAAAAATTTGTATCACGATATTTTTTTAAGATTCTCACATTTTCACTGTATTTTCCCCCCCTAATTTCACCCATATTGCGGCAGCAAGTGTTTGCATTAATAAAATACGTTTATGAGTATTTTTAAAAAGGTGTGTTTTCATACATTGTTAGGGCTGGGTATTGGCACAGATAACCCAATTCGATTCTGATTCCCAAGCTAACCATTCGATTCAGTCTGATTCAATTAGATTCTGATTAGATATCAATCCGATAGGTAAATGGTGATAGCAGCTCTTCATATTTGGAGAGATGTTTAAAAAGCTCTAAATGGAACACAAATTTACAAATGCTGAGTCACTGGACACATTGTGAAAACCACCAAAGGCCAAAGGCTTGTTTACCAAAATCTTTTTATTTGAAGAATGTATGAGTATACTTCTTTAAAAAAAACACCATCTGTCTTTCAAAGCACATAAAATGACTTCTGGCTGAAAAGAATAGCTTAAAATAAAAATGTCTAAAACTCACATGCCATGTTTCAGAAGTACTTTAACTTAAATACATGTGCCAAGACATAAATTAGAATCTTATACAGGAATTGTTCATGGCTGGGAATTGGCCCAGGGGCCTGTACTACGAAGCAGGGTTACTGGCTGATCGGGGTAATTTGTCGGATTTAAGGTAGTCTGGGCAAAATGTAAGTGAACGAATATATATAGTCCATATAAACTGTGGTACCTTAAATCCAACAAGTTACCCCGATAAGCCAGTAACCCTGCTTCGTAGTACTGGCCACTGATCTCACAATAAGATTCGATTTCAATTCAAGTGCCCGATTGGATTCAGTCTTGAGACCATTCAGTCTATGTTTAAGGCATTCATTAATGTGCAATCAAACCAGATCTGTTGTAAAAACGACTACAAGCACAGCACTATAGGGTGACATTGCAAAGCACCGTAATTGTTGCCATTACATGACAAAAATAAGATAAGGAAAAACAATATATAAGTATGACATTTATTCTTGTGCTTACCCATGAAATGCACCAACATATTTAATTCACACTTCCCTCTGCAGTTCATGAACCCAGCCAGAAATAAATAAATTATACCTGCTTTTGTTTGCTTCAGAATTACCCACGATGTTTAGGGAATGGAAAAAAAACAGATAATCAGTAATAGTCTCATCATTTGCTTTGTTTTATTAATTTAGCTTTTAGGTATTTCACGACACCATGAGCAGTGTAATGAAAGTGACTGGTGTGAGAATAAAGCCCGACTTGACTTGCTTGCATTCACGTGCTCGGAGTACTCCATTACCATGACTGACAATGCACCAAGATGGCGGCACAAGGCAATTTTGCAATACTGTTGCAACTCTCCTGTAGGTGAGAGAGAAAGTAGCGCCACCTATATGATAAGAGGACAGATACAAGTAAAATGCAGCAAAAATATTTTCAAGTCACGAGGTAAAGGCATAAATTAAGTGGATCATTCTTGGAATTTTGTGGTAATAAAAATTTAATTGCAACCAGGATCGCAATTAATCATAAAATATTGAAATATTTTGAAATATTTTCCCGCCCCTATTAATTATAAAAAATCATTTTCATTTAGCTTGATGGCATAACTGACATGATTTATGAAGTTATTAATGTACAGTCAGTTCAAAAACAAGTTTTTTTTTTGTTATAATCATGTATCTAATTAAGTGTTTCACTGACATGTAATGATGTACATTTAGCTAGATAGCGCATTGTTTAATCGATTATAACCATATATTTAGCTCTATAGACACGTTTTATTGATTATTACCAAATATTTAGCATGGTGACAACATGCTTGCTTAACTGGCATGATTTTAATAATTAGTACAGTGATAAATTGAAATGAAAAATTCATACCGTACGGGAAATTAAAACCGGTGAACAGTGCAGCACTAATTCACAGTAATATTTTCTGCCGTTGTGTTCTGTAAAAGAGGCGTAGTGTGATCTGCAGTTTAAAGAGCGTTTCTTTCATGAAAGCTCCTTCTTCCCCTAGTTTACCTCCTCACACCTTCTCTGTGAATTTCCGTGGCACCTTGTGCTGCGTCAAACCACTGACCACTGCTTAAGCTGTGTAAATAAATGTAGTTTTTTTTTCTTACAACCATTCAGATGTAGAGGGAGGCAGTGCTGGGTTACATGTCTTTGAGAAAATGTCTTTAATGTTTTACTTTTCGCCCCTGAAGGGCACAAACACTATTGGATGTTTCACAAAGCAGTTTTTCCTCCATCAGTTCTCTAGTACAGACTGACGACCTCCATGTCATAGGTTTAGAGGGTCCTTTGTGAGCTGAATAAGTGAGTGATATTTACTTCTCAGAATTATTCTTTATATTTGTAGAAAATAGTTTCCTTTGGTCTGTTTTGAGCAGTTCCAAGGCTGTGGTCTACGTGTTCTTTGTTTAGAGAGGGTTTTGTAAGCATCTGTAGATGAACCTCGCCAAACATAATTACTTAATTTGATTGCAGCACCTTTTAGCTGTGTCATTCTCATTTGTGAATAAGGTGATGGCTGACCATGAATTCAGCAGCTTCCTAGTTAATCTGCTTGTCTGGGTCGGAGTTTTGGGATGGTCCCCCTCTGAGATGGCAGAGGGCATAAGGCAAAGGAACACCCCCCCCCCGGACAGCATGCTTATCCATCACGGTGCACTTACTCATACTATGGGCAATTTAGAAATGTTAGTTTGCCTAGTTGCACGTCTTCCGATTGTCGGAGGACCGTGAAGAAATCCACGCCCAAAAATATGCAAACCTCCAAGCCAGTGTGAGAGCCCAGTGATGCAGCATGGCGCCCCCCCCCCCCCACTGCCTGCTTAATGCGAACAGCTGGACCACGTGTAGAGATGCTTCAGACCTGCATTTTAGACCAACTGTGAGGACGAAGTAGCAGCGAAGGCCTCAACCTGGTTGTAGTCTGAAAGTTAAGAAAAAGCAGTGAATGTGACATCGTGCAGTGGTCTAACTTTGCAAATGCAGCCCGACTCCCGGCCATCCTCAGCGTGGCCACTAGGGGGAGCAGGCACCTTGACTGGTGACGGCAGAGCTTGCGGAAGGCAGCACTAAGATGTTATTGTGGTTTGCAGGCCTCCTGCTTGATTTCATGTCAAGACCGGTGTCTGTTTTATAAGAGGCTGTTTCATGAGAGCCTTTTAAAAAGCAGCCGTCCCTCTCAGTTACTGCGGTCGGCATCAAGCTGTACGTTGTGAAGCGTCTTCGAAAGTGTCGCCGGGGGGGGGGGGGGGGGGGGGGGGTGGTGACTAACAGAAACTCAGAGTCATGGGGCGTGGGGGTTCTCTTTTAATGCAGTTTATATTTCAGTGCATCATTTTACAAATCGGTGTTAATATCTTCATATTTTAGATTTTCTAATTGGGGAAATGAGATGTCGGTAGTGTGACGTTCACCTTGACAAATGTGATGAACTGATTTATTTTTAAAAAATAGCTTGTGTTTGGTGATCGCTGCCGCATGTGCATAAAATGCGATGCATGCCCTTTGGTTTCCACTGCGCTGAGTATATGCGCAACTTTGTGGTTGGGTGTTCCAAATCTCTTCAGACATATAACAAATTAATTTGTGAAGTATTTAACTGCTGATCTAGAGAGTAGGAACCTGCAGGTTCTTGTTGCCGTGCGGAGCCGAATGAGACGGGCGCCGCCCTATTTCACTGGGCCTCATCCCTCACCAGGCATTGGGTCCACACCCCTCTGTGAAAAACAAGCATAAAGTCCACATAGCCCTTTAAGGGCTACTGCTTGATTCGCGGTTGAACTTGAACAAAATGTACTTTCTCAGGATTGACTGTTGCACTCGGCTGACAGTTAGTGTTTCTGGGGGATTGGAGAGATGCTAAAATACTGGGTATGAAATTCACCCCCCCAGTACGAGTGCCGGCACTGGCTTCCGGGTCGGCCCGTTGGTGACTGCACACTCAGCACGGCGAGCTTTGATGATGCGGCTTGGGATCTCCTCCACCCTATGTCCGGTTCAGATCGTTTGACGCTCGCTTCTGTTTGGTATGGTGAAGATATGTGGAAAATTAACTTTCTGTTTTTAGACTGAGGACGGTAGAGAATTGGTCTACAAATTTTTTTTTTTTTGCTTAACAATGACTAATATGTCCAAAATCTAGACCAGCTACTTAAATGTTTCTAGTCGTCCAAACCTTTTCACTGTGTATCAGTTTGTTTGAATCCCTCTAGCCACGCCGTTAAGTGCCGCGCCTCCCTTTCTGTCTTCACAGGCGCTCTGCTCGCTCCCGGAGCCGCTCACCGGGCCCCTTCTCCTCGTCCTCTTCCCGGCGCTCTTCCTCACGCTCGCGTAACAAGAAGCACTCGTCGGCGGGGGGCGGGGGCGGCTCCCACAGCAGCCGCCCCCCCAGCCGCTCCCCATCCACCTCCTGCCTGCCGCTCAACTCCAGTCTGGGTGCCGAGCTCAGCCGGCGGAAGAAGGAGCGGCAGGCCGCCGCGGCGGCAGCCGCCCGCACATCCTCCCCCAACGCAAAGCGGCCCGTGAAACCAGAGCCTGAGCCCCCCGACAGGGAGAAGGCCCCTCCAGCTGACCCGACTCCCCAGGCTCCGCCCCAAGCCCCGCCCCCAGCCACCACCCCTCTCCAGCCGGCCAATCAGCGTGGAGACGAGAAGACCTCGGCCCCGCCTTTGCCACCCTTCTCCTCCCCTCCACCTCCGCTCCCTCCCTCTCAGACCCCTCCCCTGCCCCCTCCTCTGCCCCCGTCACCAGCCGCGCTACATCAACCACCTCTGCCCCTCGCAGAGGTCGCACAACCCGCCTCAACTCACACGACCCCTTCCTCCTCCTCCTCCTCGTCCTCGGCAGCTCAGCCCAAATCCCCAGCGGTGCTGCCGGCGCGCAGTCCTGCCCGGCAGCCGCCCCCCATGAAGACCTCCACGCTGCCCCCCCTGCCCTTGCCGCCCATGCTGCTGGGGGACCAGGACAGGTGAGTCGCCAACACGCTGACTCGCTCCGTGCTCTGACTCCTCTCCATAAGCCCCTTGCTGTATTGACTCACCAACAGCCCCGCCTGTTAGTGTTAGTGATTTTTCTGTATCTGTGTGGCCGAATCAAAAGCTGCAGGCTCCCCGCCGACCACCCCCGCAACAAGCACTGCCATGCGGCTGTCGACAGAAATAAAGCAGTGTCTCTCTCAGAACATGTCCCGCGGACCGGATTTCCATGCCGGCTTCCCGTTCTGCCGGCACAGATGCCGACGGTCCCCGTTTAGAATTTTCCAGCCAGAATAGGAACGTGGAGAAATGAAATGGTTTTAGGTTTTAGGTGTTAATGTCCATCATTTCCTCTTGTTCAGTGTTGCGTCTCCATGTTCCCTCTCTCACCCCCGAAGCCCAAAGAAGACCCCGCCACAAAGACCGCACAAGAAGGAGAAGGAGATGCGGAGCAGGCCGCTACTGAGCGACCTTCCGCTACCCCCCATTCTGGCCGGTGGAGACTCGTCACCCCCTCAGTCTCCTGTCCAAAAGGCCCCACCCTCACTGCAGCCTGTTTTCAAGAAGAGACCAAAGTGAGTTTGGGGGGGGGGGTATGGTCAATGGCATGGGAACCAAAAGTAGCCCTTCTCCTGGGCTGAACCCAAACACAAGAAGCTACACCATCAAACTGCTAGTTTCCAGCTGGTCTTTTATGGTTTGGGCAAAACCAGTGGCTTCCTCAGACCCTTACAACCCTCTCCCCCATCACCGGCGAACCAGGTTCTGCTGCCCCCGCTACGGCGAGCGCAAGCAGACCCAGAGCGACTGGGGCAAGCGGTGTGTGGACAAGTTTGACATCATTGGCATCATCGGAGAGGGAACGTACGGCCAGGTGTACAAGGCCAAGGACAAGGACACGGGTAGGTCTGCACCTCACCATTCTCCCACCCCCCCCTCTTGCTTGAAGTTGAGTTGCATGACTGTTCAGACCCTTCCGTGGGTCAGTCGGGCTCTGGCCGTCACCGCGCTCTCACCGTCCCTCCCCAGGCGAACTGGTAGCCCTGAAGAAGGTCCGCCTGGACAACGAGAAGGAGGGCTTTCCCATCACAGCCATCCGCGAGATCAAGATTCTCAGGCAGCTCAACCACCGCAGCGTGGTGAACATGAAGGAGATCGTCACGGACAAGCAGGACGCCCTGGACTTCAAGAAGGACAAAGGTAGGCGGGGCTTGTTTCGTGTATTTAAGGAGGGGAGGGGATCGCATCGTATCTCACAGGTAAACGAGACCTAAGACAGCTGCTGGCTCTTGATTCTCCATGTTCATTCTACATTCTACGTGTTCGTTCCCCTGTTCTGCGTTGAGAGCAGATCATTCATTGAGCGAGGGGGCACTGCTGTTGTATCTTGGGACACCGTACTAGAATTTCCCTGTTAAAATTCCAGTAACTGGAAACGCACACAAACATGAGAGTCATATTTTACGCACGTCAGATTTACCGCCCCCACCACCCACCCACCGTGCCATTCAAGACACCTTGTAGCAAAAATCACGTAAGCCAGAAATGTATTGCAATACCTGCTGAAGAACACATATTAAACCAAAGGATGAAATGTAATTTATGCATGTCGCCTTGCATGAACTCTGCGTGTCTGATATTTAGTCGAGTCCAGTTAATTTTATAGTCGAGAGCTGTCTGTATATAAATAGGTTAAAGTGCCTTTAGATAATATCAGTCACCTGTAGTACTAAATGAATGAACACACACACACACACACACGCGCGCGTACTGTAGGAAAGCTTTTGGGGTTCTAGCAGTCTCAGTTCAGGCCCTGCTCCCACTCCAGGTGCCTTCTACCTGGTGTTCGAGTACATGGACCACGACCTGATGGGGCTGCTGGAGTCGGGCCTGGTGCAGTTCTCGCACGAGCATGTGCGCAGCTTCATGCGGCAGCTGATGGAGGGCCTGGACTACTGCCACAAGAAGAACTTCCTGCACCGGGACATCAAGTGCTCCAACATTCTGCTCAACAACAGGTGCCAGCTGAATTTCGGGCGGGGGAGGGGTGGGGGGTGTTGGGACGTCGTCTCCCAAATGGGGGCTAACGGGAGTTTATTCCCCCTTCTCCGCAGCGGTCAGATCAAGCTGGCGGATTTCGGTCTGGCCCGCCTCTACAACTCGGAGGAGAGGTGAGTCCTACGGCCGGACCGTACGCTGATCTCCCAGCGCGGTCAGCGATCAGCAAACAGCGAGGGCGCCCACGTCTGACTGCTGTGCTAAGCATGTGTGCCGCCTTTCAGAGCAGCTGCACTCAGCTGTTTGTCACGGGTGTAACTGTCCCTGCCTCGCTCCTGCCCCCCACAGCCGACCTTACACTAACAAGGTGATAACACTGTGGTATCGGCCCCCCGAGCTGCTCCTGGGGGAGGAGAGGTATTCCCCGGCCATCGACGTCTGGAGCTGCGGGTCAGTGCCCCCCCCATCTCTCTCACACACACACACACACCACCTGCACATGTCCTGTCCTCTCTGATGCACGCAAATCAACAGCCTCCCCTCTCACTCTCAATCCCATGCTGGCCAAGCCACTGCTGCATACTATAATTCTTTCTCATTGGATGCTTTTTCTAGGAAACATCCAATCAAATCTCTCTGAGGTGTTTGTGGGCGGTGCCCTTCGCAGTTAGCTCATCTGTTCATCTCCCCTCTAGTTTATCTGCACTGTGTATTTAAATTTTATTTCCTGTCTCAGTTGTCCTCTGTTGGGGGGCAAGGGGGGGGACAAACATTTAAATCACATAGTAGCAGTTTGCTTTTCATCATGGCCTTTAAACCTTTTTACTATTGTGTGCCATCTGTTATTGAATAATTAAAATGTCCAATTAAATTTCCTCATTCTACATTAACACCATCGTCACCGTTGTTCCGCCATTTATACAAATGTACTAATTTATTTGGGTTTCAGCTCATGAGGTTTGTTTTTTAGCTATGTTTCCCTAATTTAGCTAATTAAATATTTGATGGGGGTCTTCTATAATTTAAACTGAAGTCCCAGTTGCCTCTGTAATGCATTTATTAAGTCTTGCGGCTGGATAATACCCCCCCCCCCAAACACACACACAGGCATTCCCCCCCCCCCATTGCTGCCCATTCACAGCCTCAGCACTCGAGCTGCTTATAAAAACATCCTTTCCGCAGTACAGGTAAGTAGCGTGTCAGTGAAAGGCTCGTGACTACGCCCCCTGTTCCACTACAGCTGCATCCTGGGAGAGCTCTTCACGAAGAAGCCCATTTTCCAGGCCAATCAGGAACTACTCCAGCTGGAACTAATCAGGTACGGCGCCCTCTTGTGGAAGAACCTTCTTTTTTCTGTTTACATATTGTGTCTGTGATTTTGTTTATATTATTTGATTCACGGCGTGACCGTCCCTGTGTCCCCTGTGCAGTCGCCTGTGTGGCAGCCCCTGCCCGGCGGTCTGGCCCGATGTCATCAAGCTGCCCTACTTCAACACCATGAAGCCCAAGAAGCAGTATAGGCGGAGGCTACGCGAGGAGTTTGCTTTGTGGGTGTCTGTCTGCCTGGCGGTCTGTCTGTCTGCCTGGCGGTCTGCCTGGCGGTCTGTCTGTCTGCCTGGCGGTCTGTCTGTCTGCCTGGCGGTCTGTCTGTCTGCCTGGCGGTCTGTCTGTCTATCTGTATGTGTATATAATACATAGAGGGGACCCAGTGTCCCCGCAGCCTAAAAACGGACATTTTCTCAATCCCCATAAGGGATAACTCAGTTTTCTAAAAATCTTTGAATGCAATCAAATACCAAAAATGGCAGAAAGTCTTGGGTTTTGTTTGTGAGGTTAGGGCTGGGTGCCAGTTAGGATTACGGCTTTGCCCATAGATATGAATGGATGGTCCCTACAACGGTGTGAATGCAAACACTTCTGTGTGCGTGTCTGAGTGTGTGCATGCCTGTACGCGCACGCGTGTCTGAGTGTGTGCATGCCTGTACGCGCACGCGTGTCTGAGTGTGTGCATGCCTGTACGCGCACGCGTGTCGAGCGGTTTCTGTAGTCTCATCTGCAAGCTGCACTGTCCCTATGAACGTCATGAAGGTCCAAACAGAAAACTTAGATCCTCACGAAAGACAAGCGATATTCTTCCCGAGAGCCTTTCTGCTTTTTGTGGAGGCAGATCGTACCTGTCAAACAGGTTCCTTAAATGTTTTTCTCCCTTTGGTTAGATTTTTTTGCCTTGTGATTTTTGTTAGGGTTGAAATCAAAACGTGTTTGTGCTCAAGCACACATGCCTGTGTGTGTGTGTGTGCGTGTGTGTGTCTCACCTGTTCCCTCCCCCTGCAGCCTGCCCACCGCCGCCCTCGACCTGCTAGACCACATGCTGACCCTTGACCCCGGGCGGCGCTGCACGGCAGAACAGGCCCTCCACAGCGACTTCCTGATCGACGTGGAGCCCAGCAAGATGGCCCCGCCCGAGTGAGTGCCCCACCTGTTGTGGCATGTACCCCTGACCTCGCCGCCCCCCCAATGACCTCTGGCCCCCTCCCCCTCTAGCCTCCCACACTGGCAGGACTGCCATGAGCTCTGGAGCAAGAAGCGTAGGCGGCAACGCCAGAGTGGGCTGTCTGAGGATGTGCCAGCGCCCAAAGTGCCCCGCAAGGACCCCGCTGGGCCCCCCAGTGGAGAGAACAGCCGGCCCCCGGCTAGCCCTGCTGGAGCGCCCCCACCTGCGCCTGCCCCGGGCCGCTCGCAGTCTTCAGGCACCAGCGACAATCAGCTGGCAGGTGAGCGGCACTTTCTGCCCCCCGATCACCATGCCCCCCCCCATTTGCCTCCGCAGGTCCGCTTAAGCTAGAGGTGGGAGGAATGGGAGGGGGTTCCAGACAGACTGGCCCCAGCATGTCTGTCGTTCCTTCACTTGTCTTGCCCCATGTAGCAGGTCCTTAGCGAATGTGTCATTGCCTGGTCCGCGGTGACACAGTAACCGGAAGGCGGTGACACTTCTATCCACGGTTTCTGATGCCGTGCGCGTCTGGGATTTTGGCCCAAATCCTGAATAAATCTGTCAGCCTAATATTTTGCTCATTATGACAAACGTCGTTAAGAGGGCGAGGATGACCAGGTATGAGGCCCCATGGGTGTCATACTCGCGTGGCCGGGGGCCCCGGGTGTCATACTCGCGTGGCCGGGGGCCCCAGGGTGTCATACTCGCGTGGCCGGGGGCCCCAGGGTGTCATACTCGCGTGGCCGGGGGCCCCAGGGTGTACACATGTCCCGAAATTCCTGTTATCCGGGGGTTACAGGACAATTCGGGTGCTAAGGCCGCGGGGGGAGCTGGAGAGGGCAGTATTGTGCCGTGAGTTTAGTCAAACCCAGCAATATTGGTTGTTTTGATGACCCCCCCCCTTGGAGCACGTGAAGCACAGTACACCTGTTACAGGTGAGAAACCCACGACCGGATAAGGACACGGCATATAGAGACTCTCCCATGACGTCCCCCTTCTGTCCCCCTTCTGTCCCCCATGTGTCCCCAGGTCTGGGCGCGGCCACGGAGCAGCTGAACCAGAGTGAGCTGGCGGTGCTCCTGAACCTCCTGCAGAGGCAGACGGACCTGAGCCTCCCCCAGGTGGCCCAGCTGCTCAGCGTGTCGGCCCACCCCGAGAGCCAGCAGCAGCTGGAGAGCCTCAGTCAGTCGCTGTCGGTACTCAGCGAGCCCTCCCAACAGCAGGGGGCGCCGCTCAGAGCCGAGCCCGAGGAGGGGCCCGTGGGAGCGCCCGACGAACCCCCGGAGCCCGCCCCGCCGGCCGACCCGGCCCTTAGCCAGGAGGACCAGGCCAATTTCCTGGCGCTGCTGCTGGGGCAGCTGATTAAACCGGCGGGCGAGGGGGCGGAGCAAGCCGACGAGAGCAATGGCGTCCAATCAGAGGAGCCCGTCGCCCGTGGTGCCGCTGCTGCCGATCGCAAGGGCAAGTCTGACTTCAGTCTCTAGGGGGCACTGAGAGCACCGGGGCACTGATGTCCAGCACGTGGGGGGTCAGGGACGGGCGAGAGTGGAGCCGCGTGTCGCAGCCCCTCCCCATGCTGGCTTCTGATGTTTTATGGGTCAGCTTTTCTAGAATTTGTACATTTTTGAAGCAAACACATTTTTCCAGCTATAAAGAAGCACAAATCCGCTACTGTTAAAATGAATGTTTCTTTCTTTTTTTTTTTTTTTTTTAACGGACACTTCAATGTGCAAACTGATTGTCGCTGGAGCTGAAGTTCAACTAGGGGATCAAGCCACTCTGCCCACCCCCCCCCCATACACTCACCCCTCCCTACAATGTCACGATAGGCGGAGCACTTGCACACCTGTCGGGTGGGGGTGGGGGTGGGGGTCGGTCACGTGGACTGGGAGGGGCGCAGTCCGAAGCTGGGGGGGCACGGTGCACCAGTGGGGGTGTACAAACACGTACTGCTAACTCCCTGACCCCACCCTCTCAAGGCTTCTGGGTTCACTGTTTTTTTTTTCCATTCTATTAAAGTTTTTCTTTTAAAACATGTCTGTACGTCTATATGCATAAAATCTAATAAATTATAATTTGAAAATAAATGTTTTAAACCATAGATCTCAACTGCATGTCTTTTCTTTTTTCCTCCATATTCTCCATTCTCATCATGTTTTATGTGTTTTCTTTTCTGTGTTTGAGAGTGAGGATTAGGATTAAATGTGAGGGGCAGCCAGGCTGAGCTTCTCGCACCGATTCTGTGGCTGTACGCTTCCCACAAGATGCCCGCCGCATCCGCATTTGGGGGTTCATGTCGATTAGTCTTCTAACAACCGGTGATTGGATGACCCAGGTTTCTGCCCCATACTATGTGGGACGACCACGTGCTGTCAGACCCCCCCCCCCCCCCCCCTCCGATTTAATCACCACCGTTAGTCTGTGGTGGTTAAATGTGAGCTACCACAACTGCACTTTCCTCCAACTCTGACTCCTCTCCAGGCATGTTCACTCTCCCCCTAATACACCCTCCTTCACCGTAGTCCTCTTCTAACCCTGTGCTGCCACCTAGTGTATTGATGCGAAAGGTCTTTTTTTATTATTAATAAATCGATGTCCGATCTTGGTGAATTCGGTTCCGGTGGGGGGGTTGGGTGGCTTGGGGGTAATCCAATTCAGAAGCATGTTTTTAAGTTCAAAAGATTACTGTCATGTGACTGAACATTATTCTGCTACGGTTTCTGTATATGTCTTGAACACTGTGAAATTTGTGCTTTTAGTTTACCAGGTCTAGTACTTTAACCACAGGACTTCGGTCTTCATAACCAATTTCACAGTGTGCTTTTTTCTTTTTGCGCAGTGTAATATGTCTGCATTTTAAGGGGACTGCAGTGTGTCAGTTGTGCTGTAAATGGAACAGGATCCAGTGCAGATTCTAGTCACAGTTTAGCAAGCTGTGATTAAAATAGACGCCTGCGTTTTCATGCGATGCCTTGAGTGACTGTAGCCACAGCGTGTGTTGCGCCTGAACCTGTGTGTGTGTAAATGGTGTTTAGTTTGCACTTCTGGTAGGGAGTGTCTGTATCTCAGCAGCCTGACTTGACCTTGAGATTGTGGAGTGAGATAAGGATGGAGGCGTGTTCGGTCCGGCGACGCGTGACTGACCCGTGTTTGTGTTTGACCCCATTCAGACGGCGCAGTCAGAAGGCGGAAGCCGCTCGGCGTGGGTCAGGGAGCTCTGTCCTCAGAGAGACGCCCCCCCTCCCCACCAGGGCCCCCCCCCGCCTTCCTCGGCTCGCTCCACCCAGCTGGTGAGTCGCACGCGGGCGAGGAGATCAACCCCGCGGTAGCGGCTGCCCTCCTCCAGTTACTGTCTCAGCCGGACACTGATCCCAGGCCGCTTCTAGAGGACAGCCAGCCGGGCCACAAAGACGAGGTGTTTGTGGAGGGCAGGGCTGCGGCACGGTCCTCACAGCAGCAGGGGGCGCCCGTGTCCTGGACTCAGCCCTCAGACTCTACAAAGTCGCCAGAGACTCAGCTCTGTGGTGAGCCCGTCCCGACCCTCAGCACCGCGGCGCAATTCCCACGGGACCAGGACTTCCGATTCGCTCACGGGGCCCCAGCCAAGCCTGGGGCCCCTGGGTTCCCTAGTAACGAGGCTTGGAACCAGGGAAGCAAGGGCTTCCCGGGTAACAGCCAACCCCAGGCACAGGGTCCAGGGACGGGCAGGGGCAAAGGGGGACCCTACTGACGGGCATCTCAAGGAGTCTGTCGCTATGTGAGCAGCCTGAATAATAAGGGGCGGCGTTACAGCAAGTGTGGAACACCTGCTTGCTTAGTACTTGGTCATACTCCACTTGCCTGAGATGAAAAAAGAAGGGACCAGGGAAGAGAGGACAGTGAGGGGCATGTAAACAGCGAAGGTTTTGGAGGGACGTTGCAGAGGGCAGTCTGCTAAGCCCCAATCCCCAAGTGCCCACCCCCCCCCCCAGCCAAGCTGCTGCGGGGCTGTCCTACAAAGGCCCCTGGGAGGAGGCTCCGCCCACAGTCTTCACGCACCTGGTTAAAGCGAGCATCCGTGTGTATCGAGGCGAAGGCAGAGAGCAGCCCTAGAATGTAACCTGCCATGAATTGTTTGCACACAGAGTGAATGATGTGAGGCATCTCAATGTGTTTTCCCATTGCGGGGGTCGAGTACAGGAGTCTTTGTTTTGTTTTCCTCCCCCCCTCCTTTTTTCCCCTCTTCTCTCTACAGGCAGTTGTTTTGACACTGTTCCCTGGGTCTGTCTGGATGCATGGAGATATGAGTGATAGGGTGGCTGCAGGGGGTACTAATACATACAACTGAAAAATGCAGAGAACCTCCCCTGATTGTCCACGTGCCTCCTTCTGAATCCTCAGAAAATCCCAGCCACTTTGTCTCCACCCCATCTCATGTGATTGCAAGGCTCCTAATATAAAAAGTGCGTTTTGGCTAGCATAATTGTATTTTTCTTTGTTTCCGGTGTCTCGGGCCAAAGTTGCTGCAGTGGAGTTTGTCCGTCACTCCCCCCCCCCTCCCCCCTTGCTTCCTGACCTGTTGGTTCGCTCCACCACTCCTCCCGCTTTGCTTTCAGATGTCTGTGGGACATGTTATCAGCTGTCCGGTATCACCATGGTAACAAAGGCATAGGAGACCCCTGCCCTTTGCATTTGTCTGATTTATGTTCTGTCTCAAGTGGCCGTTAACCTTTCATGTCCCATGCCATAGATCCACCCCCCCCCCCCCACCCAGCAAACACTGGTGTGCGTGAGTTTTTTTTTCTTTTCTACTTTTAAGTTTAACGCTGACAGTTGAGATTGATTTTGTTGTTTCTGCTCAGAAGTGGTAGAACATAAGGAGCCAGATTTTGGGTCACCTGTGACTGTAAAGATATTTTGTAATATGTTTTCTTTTCTGTTTATTAAAGGAAATCGAAGGCCTCACTCGTGCGTTTACTTAAATGTTTTACGTGCTACCAACAGGTGGCGCTTTGAGCCAAGGAATTACTGGTTGTAAGGCTGTCCTGATTCTCCACAGGTTTAATAGGAATCTCAAGCCGGTCGTCGGGGACTCCCGCACCGGAAGCTGGGAGTTGGCAAAACATGGGTCGTCTGAGGGTTGACCAGGACCAGGTTGAGGAACACTGGGTGTTTCTCAATATGCGTACAGTACTTGACCACAGAGGTGGAAAGTTGAGGTCCGGAAAGCAGGATTGCCAGCTCTCACGCATCTGGTCTGGCACTCAAGCTTTCAGACTGTCATGGTCACGCAAGAAATCTTACGGCAAATCTATATTATTCCACTATAAACCTAAAATTAGCTACATCAAAAGCATTGGGTAATAAAACTCTTGCATACATCTAAATTCTCGAATTGAAAATCTCACGCCGGCCATCTGACCAAAGTTGGCAATGAGAAAGCGCAAATCCAGACCAAGGTTTTGTTTCAACCAACCAGTTGAGTATAAAGAGTCACTGTCTGAGTACTCAACTGGTTGGTTGAAACAAAATCTTGATCTGGAGTTTTACTTTCCGGAGCTAAACTTTCCATCTCTGCTTGACCATACATGTGTTCTCGTGTACCCGGTTTACGTCATTATCCATTGCCTGACCATAGCAAGACCAATTCCAATACTCAAGGACAGAAGTATAGAGGACGATAAAAATTCCCGTCGGTTGCACCATCGCCAAACGAGACCAATCCAGGATTCATTGCGCCCGAAGTTCGTTCTTAGGAGACAAGCTAACAAGACCGGTCTTGCCAAGACCACAAGTACGGTTTTTTGCGTTCTTGGTATTGAGAAACACCCATTGTCTTAAACTACATTTTACCTGGTGAATTAGTAGACCAAACATTTAGAAACATTTTTTTGAAGTTTCCTTTTCTGCGGGAAATACATCGGAGTTAATCTGAAATACCTCTGCTTCATGGCATCATGAAAGAGTTTTTTTTTTTTTTCTTAGAGCTCTTTTGGTTATTTTACTGAACAACAACATTGTGACAAGGCACAATGAAGCAGTTTAAAACAATGGAAATTGGCCGGTAAATTACCACTAGGTACGTTAGAAATCGGGAAAGCTCGTGCTGCTCCTTTTGCTCGTCTTAAACCTGACGAAGATTCATCTCTAAAACTGTTTCAGAAGAGCGATTTCATGCTGCGTTAATTCCTGGCGACGGAGTAAACTAGGATTTCTATTAACAAGAGCAGGATGTTTAAAAAGCCATTCAATGGGAAAACATTTAAAATTGAGCTCCATTTGCGCCCTTCGTAATCACTTATTTGACATGTTCTTATTTGATCGTTCAGGGGATTATTAAGTAATTATTTTTTTCTGATAACTGTAATTTAACACTGCTAATAATTCTAAGCGGAACAAAAGCACACTTTAGAGATTTTCTTATTCAATCAACGATCTAATCAAATCTAATTAAGATTTCACTACGATCGAAAACATACACAGTGGGGCTCCCACGACGACGGGTGGAGACACTATTTTATCATATATTAATTTTAACTGCCATGTAGAGAATGTGCAGGCAAAATGAGTTAATCCAGGAATAATTGCAGCCTTGCGGATACAGTACGAGGAAAATGGATTGGAAAGCTTCGAAGGAAGACTTTATAGGATCTCGTTCAGCAAACAGCAGTTTGATTATTGTATTTTAAAGACTGTTCTTAAATAAAACGATCTTTAACGTGCTATGAAAAGAACTGCCGCTAGAGGGAAACACCCGTTCATTTGAAAATAGCAATACAATATAGCCTTAAGTTGTCCAAATACACCTCTATAGCCTACTGGACTCTCGATATATTCTAATGTAACGATTAAGTTAAAAAGTTGTTTCAAAAACTTGGTTATGAGGGATATTTCCGTTTTCCAAACTGGTATTTAAGGTTATTGCTCAGTCCATAAAAAGTAATTACCGCACATTACAGTGCGCTTAATATTGTGCGTATCCGTATGCGTGAATTCCGCACGTCAGGGGGGAAGGAAATTAAACGGCAAATTAAAGTTCACACTTTCGCAAGTGCTCAAGAGCAATACATCCTGACGAGGTGCAATGGCGGATCGGATCCGCCTCAGCGTGATCACAGTCTCCTGGAAATGTATATAATTAATCTGAGCTGCCAGACACGGGCGCAACCTGATCCGGCTATAATATCTCTCGATTCATCTCTTTCGCTTATGCCTATGCTTGTAGACTTGTGGAATAATTGCTAAAGATGTGCTAATTATTTATACATGGTTTAACATATAGGTGGGGAAGCGAATTTGCGGTAGATGAATTGCAATTAGTCTCCAAAAGCGTACGGGGTGCAAAGAAATCTATTCTGTAACTGCTATTAAGCACGGGACGCCTATGTTTTGATTATGATCTTATGTTGTTTTGTTCCAAATTTGTTGTGTGTTATCATTAGTAGCTACACCAGGAGTGGTTTGGTTGGGTTTTTTTTATATTAATAACCATTAACAATAAAACACAGCGATGTTACGTCTTAGCAAAACAAAAACAAAGGGGCAGGTTTAAACACGCACCACGAACAACCCCTGAAAGCCTGAAGACGAGAAACGGCGAGTAAGACCCGTTTTGTTATGTCCTGTGTACGTTTGACATTAGCGGCGCAGAGCTCTACCCAAAGCTCCAAAAGGTACAAGCTTATACTGATTTAATCTGCTTACCAAAAAAATTGTTACCTGTACCACAGGGTTGCCAGCTTCGGTCAGCTGGCTGGAGTGAGATTTTCAGTTCGAGACAAGTCTTCATATTCATTTACATGTATATAACAGTTTTATTACCTTGTCAATGGTCTGTAGGGTTTGCAAACTGCCTCAATACTTTCGATGCAGCATATTTTAATTTTATAATGGAATAATAGAAATTCGCCGTAAGATTTCTTGCGTGAGTGTGAGAGTCTGAAAACCTGTCACGCCAAATGCATGGGAGTTGGCAACCATGGACTACCATAAGGAGAAGGTCAGACTTTTCCATTGAATTATGAGGATGTCAAAGCTAAGATATTTCCTTAACCACGCCGTTGACCTACATCTTTGGTTGCTGTTGCCGTTGTGTCATTTTCTGTACGGTGCGCTGTACATCTCTCTTGTATCTTCTTAAAATAATTGTCAGGTAGCCATAGAAAGTTCTATTAGCGACACAGGAGGTCGGTCTGGTAATGGCTCACCTGGATCAATGTCACTTGTAAGCGAGATCCTTGAGTTGTCTCCTACGCTGTGACACTGGGTGTTTTGAAGTCGTCCGTTTGATGGGGAGCTGGGGGCTGACGGGGTGGTGAGTGTGCGGGGTGGACACGAGCGGGGTGACGTGAGGGGGCATTAAGGACACGCTGAGAGAGTAAGAGGCCCTCAAGCTGGATGATGGGCCTGCTGGGCCTCAGATTCATGCATGCCAGGGATGGATACCCGGGGAACGCCGTCTCCCTGGTAACGGGCTTCCTTGGCTTGGCACGTGCCAGACGCATTTGGTCTGAGTGGCAGAGAGCAGCCGTCCCCCAGCCCCTCAGCGGGCACAGCTGAGCCCGAGTTCGGAGGGCATCTTCACCTGCAGTCGTGTTCGGAGACTGTTTATTCATGTGCACGTGCACGTGCGAGTCTGAGCGGACGAGCTGTGTTTCCGCGTGTGGAACTTTTTAGTTTATTAATTCCTATTTATTTTCGTGTTTGTGTGCGCGTGTGCGTGCACGCGTACGTGCGTGTCGAGCCAGGCGCGGTCATTAATGAGACCCCGGGGAGGACACGAGGAAGAGTGCCAACGTGGGGGGAGGAATACAGCAGGAGGCGGGGTTTACGGCCGGGGGAAGAGGGAGGACGAGTCCCGCAGCCGTCAATCAGGTGGAGCACCTAGGCCGGACCAAACCACTAACAGAAAAGTGGGGGGGAGGGATGTGTCCACTGTCTGTGTGATTTAACCTAGGATTTTCACGGTCAGGCAGGCAAAGTAAATGAACACATAGGTAACATAATAAGCAGATAAATAAACATGTTTGGTTTTTGGTTAAGAAGAAGCTATGAGTGATGCTTTTAGCTGCAACAGTGACCTTGGTGTCCTGCCAGTTTGCCAACACAGGAACCGGTGAGAATGGTCCGTCCCTGACTGTGTTAGCACAGAGGGCCATAGGTGCCAAGTTATTCAAACATTTTAAAATGTCACTATGTGTTTGCGACAAAATCACCCGAGGTGCCCCTGTAAAGTGCCTGTTCATCCATCCTTCATTCAGCTTATCCAGTACTGGGCCGGGGTCAGCCTGGAAGCTGTCCTCTGTTAAGCAGTGTTTCCCAATCTGCTTCCCCGGGACCCACAGCTGGCCCATGTTTTTCCTCCCTCAGAGCTCTATGCCAGACAGTTCACCTTTTTGCTCCCTCCCAGCTCCCCGGGAGCAAAAACACGGGCTGCCAGTGAGTCCCTGAGGACCGGATTGGGAATCACTACTGTAAAGTATTACTCTGCACATGAAGAGGAACGGATTCTCAATCCTCCGCTTGATAACTGCGCGACAGGTTTATCCGCATGACATGTGCTTAAAGTTTGCATGAGAAGCCCGGAAATGTATTAGTCTATTTCAAGCTTTTCACAAAAAAAAAAAAAAAGCAGCAGTATCAGTTAACGCTCGTGTGGACGAGCTCTAAGTTCTTCCTCCAGTGAAAAGTTTGAGTGTAACTCGGGCCTGAGCTGCCAGGACGAATCCGGGGCTGAGTCAACCTCTCGGCGGGGCTCCCCAGGTGGCGGCGAGTGGAAAGTGAGATTATGCGAGATCCGTGGGCGGAATAACATAATCCCAGCAGCGCCGGCCCGAGAGCTGGCGGCAAAGACCCCCTGATCAGCAGGGCCCCTGCTCAGGCTTAGCAGGCTCAAGGCTGTGATTAGCACTGAGCAGGGCGGGGGCGGCGGGAGGGGGGGTGACAGCCTCAAAGG